GGTCCTCTGACTGATCTATGTTAATTATTGTTATAGATATATTATGCTGACTGGATTGAAATTAGGCTTTTGTTCCATAAGATTTCCTATATGGTTCATATAACTTGAAATGATTAGTAATGGCGTTTTTAAACACAACAAATTGATTTTTAACAATTTGAATGTTCCTTGCACATATCCAGACGTTTGCACATGCATATGGTTTTTTATACGCTTTTGTTGGTTTTATCACGATTTTGTTGTTGTTTGATTGATAAATGCATATTTGTAGATATTGGCGATTGACGAACATTTAAATAAAGGCATTTGATTATATTTAATTTTATAAAATACAAAATAAAATGTAGATAAATATATAACAAGATTTAGATGAATGCATATTTTGATAAATAAAAAAAATTAGATGAAAACATAAAAAGAGTGCAAAGTTATTTGAAAGAGCCAAATTTTCGGATTACACCACTCGAACTTGAGATTTTTTTGTGGGCAGGTTCTATTCAGGCTCGGATCGGGTTGTAGTGTTTTTACCCATGAAAACTACTATGTAGCTAATATAGAGGCGGTGACAGAAAAAACAATTGGTAGGAAAATCACTTACGTCATATTCACGGACGCTTTTCTTACTGATATCGTAAACACCAAAGCCATGACCAACATAATATATAGAGTTTGGCCTGAGTCCTGAATACTTGCTTGCCTCTAAACAAAATGTCTCATTGTTCTCAATGAAAATGCAAAGATCTCCAATATTTTCTGTGTAGTTAGTGATCATTTTACTTCTTTGGAATTTATGCTCTCCTTCTTCCCTGAACACCATGAACTGCTTGGTTTTTCTAAGTACTTTAGTTATGTTCCCATTGCCCCATGACTCCACATACGTCAAATACCTTTAGAGTAAAAGAAAGTTTTTCCGATCATTTAGGGAAAGAAACATACATTTTCAATTAAGTTTCATGGGTTTCCAACTCAATGTATTATCTAACTTTCATATAAGAGATACTATTCACAATTGTTACTAGCTAAATAACCCTAGATAGTTTTGTGGATCAATTATTTGTGGGCTTACCATTGAACAATGAAACGTTCGCCAGAAGACGACTCAGCAATATAGTCACTCCGTGAACATGAAGCCAATATCTCCCACTCGTGTTGTGGTACCAAAGGGAAGTTCTGAAACTGTATTTGAAGGAAGGTAGGGTCCTTATTGTTTTTGAGATCCAAGGCAGCTATATAGGGACATCCAGTAGTGAGGAGATAAAACATTTGGTCTTTCCGAGAATAAACGACTTGTGAGTCGAAATCGCAAGAAAATGGAATGTTAATACTAGTCCACTCTGAATCTCGATTAGGCATACAGTAATAAAGTTTAGATCTAAAGAAGGTGACACTAACTATATAATCATTGTCTTGGTCGGGAAAAGGAGTGGACAATGAAACTGAGGCCATTAAATACCAATGGAGGCAGAGCAATGGTTCTGGTGGATGATTCTGAGGACCAAGGATTAAACACGCCGCTGAGAAGTATAACTGAATCATGTATACGCATAAAAGCTGACCAGCTACGCGAGGTTCCAAAGAAGATGAATCCTTCAGACAACGGTAAACTTTTTAGAAAAACTTTATCAGTTATATTTGAATATTTGTCTACATCCAAACTGCAGTTGACCAACAAGTATGGGGTTTGTCGTGTGTATGAGCAGAAACGGACCATGTCACCTTCTTCTACCTGTGATTGATTGCGGAGGAAGAAGAAGAGAAAAAGAAAATAAGGATACAGAGAAAAAGTTGGCAAAACACTTTATTTCGGTTTGTTGATAGGGAAAAGTAAAACTTACAGAGTGTTTTGCAACAAGACCGAAAAGCAGAGACATTGTTTTCAAATTAACTGCAAGTATTAAACCCTATTGTTTATACACCCATCAACTATATGGCTCTATGTATTATATATATTATTATAAAGTTGATATATTTTCTTCAGACACGTGACTTAAATTTGAAATCCTAAGATTTTGAATTATGTGTTTGTATAAATAACTTGTGACACATGTAAAAATAAATTCAAATTTCCCAAAGCTATTCATATTTATTTAGAAAGAAATATGTTATTTTAATGTATGTGTTTATTATTTTTTTCAATCTCTTTTGCTAAAATCAAATATAGTTACTTTTTATGTTACACTTTAAATTTTCAAAAATGGGATGTGCAACCTTTTGTGTTTTTTTTTCTTCATTTTCATTCTGTTGATTTATTTTTGATAATCATCTGAAATATAAGTAAATATAAAATGACATATATGTCACTAACAAAGTATATTCTAAAAGATGTCAAAATTTTACGAATTATAACTACTACACATGTTGCGTTGTTAGGTCTTTAACTTATAAAAGATATACACTTTTAAATTTCTTATAACAAATAATATTTATTTAAAAAGTATATATATATATATATATATTAGGGGTGAGACCAATTATCCGGGATCCGGGATCCGATCCGGATCCGCTCCGATCCGCACCAAAAAACAGGATATCCGGGTGGAGCGGATTCGGCCGGATCCGGATCTGGATCCGGATAATAAAAAAATTAAAGCCGGATATCCGGATCCAAGATATTTTATATTATAATAAAATTTTTTAATATTTTATTACTATTATTTAAATTTTATTAATAATTTTTACTATCTTTTATATAATAATAATATTTTTAATAATATTTTTAATTATTTATGTTAAATTATTTGTTTTTAAATATTTTTCTTTAATTTTATATTAATAAAAAAGAATTTATATAAAAAAAACCCGGATCCGGATATCCGCCGGATATCCGGTTATTTTTACGGATATCCTAAATCCGGATATCCGGGTGGAGCGGATCCGGATCCGGATAATGAAAAGTTGGATCCGGATCCGGATCCGGATACCCTAAAAAAGCTGGATATCCGGATCCGGCCCACCCCTATATATATATATATATATATATTACTTTCAATGTTTATTTCTTTCTTGTTTTTGACAAATCATAGTTATATAGTTTTAATATTATTCTTTAATTTGTTTTATGTTTACTTTTCAGATGATTATATATATATATATATATATCTATACTTTTGAAGTATTTTCTCATTACTTTTTTTGGGTTATATTTGATATATTATATAACATATTTTGATAGTTTTTAATGTGAAATATGTTAAAGATTTCGGTACATATAATTTCCTTGTCGGGCAGCGTCATTTACTCATTTATGTGCTTGTTGGCCCTATTATTTTGTGTACATTAATAATTTTAGGATTTAGATTAATTATGTATAGTCTAAAACGAAGTTTCTGGTTCTCACACAAAATGATAATACATGTTAAAGTGGGTATAAATGTAAAATATGACATCAACATATTTTAGTAACTTGCGGTTTTGATTTTAGTAAAAATGGATTCAGCTGTAAGTAATCCCATGCAGGAATTTGTTTTTTTTGGGTGAAATTTTAAAGTTATTGAACAAAAAAATCTTGGCTAAGAAAACGTGTTAGCCGAGTTGGTAATGTAGTGGCTGCCCAGTCCCCTCTCTCAAGTAAGCTTTACTTTTTTTTTAAAATTGTTTATCAAAAAAGAAAAAACAAAAACTATAGGTTATTTACAAGTTGGTGGGATTTTAAATGCTGCGTAGACACTTTATAAAAATACATAAGAGGTAAATTTCAAAAGTAAGTTGGTGGGATTTTAAGCCGTTAGAGTGTCAAGGGTAATGGGTTTTAATGACTGTTGTCAAAAGTATAAGCTGACTCATAATTTGACGAATTTTTGACACTCCAATACTTAAAATGGAAACATTTTGATCGATTTGTCGGACTAATAACAGGTAAATATCCCCAATAGCTTCTGCCTTGTATGAGCGATGAGTTTCCTAGAAGCTTATTTCGTAGATGAGACAGAATCCAAAATCCACGATGAAATAATTTAGTTTCAAGAAATTCGCTATAGAAAATAAAATTAAAAAGATTAGTTATCGTTTTTTTCTTTAATATATTTGCTGGAAAATGAATTTTTTTCATGGTTTTATTGTGCAATCCTATATATATATTTTTTGGAGAGAAACCCCTAGTACACGATTGTAGAGGTACTTAGTTAAAAAGCAAATTCGATTTGCTACTTTCGACTCTTGTTAAGCAAAAAATTTGATACCGCAATTTGATTTAATGCTTTCGATTATTTTGTCAACCGCTTTTAATTTAATGCTTTCGATTCTTGTTCAGAAAAAAAATGAAGACAAATTTGGTTTTAAATCTAAGTAGGCCTGCCAAAACAATATAAATGACTGAAAGTTTGAAACCTTATGCTACTTAAGACACGTGACTTAATTTTGAAATCAGACTATCACTCAAATATATGTTGATATAATTAAATTGTCGCATATGTAAAAATTGATTCAAATTTCCCAAAGCTACTCATATTTATTTAGAAAGAGATCATTTTAATTTTAATGTTTATTTAGTGTTTTTGTTCTTATCTCTTCTAAAATTCATATATAGTTAGTTACTAACTAATGTGAAATATGTTTCTTTGTCAGGTAATTAATATATAAAAAAAAAATCCAGTTTTTTCTTTTGATTTCCTTTTCTCTTAATATTTTTTTTTATCCTGATCACTGGATATATGTTTTCTTGAACAATACGTCTGAAATTAGCACTAACAAAGTTTATTTTACACATGTCGTGTTGTTAGGGTCTTTAACTTATATAATAATATACACTTTCAAAATGCCCATAAATAATACTATTAATTTAGAAAAGTATATATAGTTTACATTTAATGTTTATTTGTTTCTGTTTTTTGTATTCTCTTTATTTTGTTATATGTTTCCTTAACGAATCATATGATTTATCTATGATGTATTTTGTCCATTACTTTCTCTTCTGTTGATTTCTCTTTTGCTAGTATTTGATATATTTCTTGGAAAGTACGTCTAAAATCGTATATAACACGTGAATGTGAAAACATAAACACATGAGATCACGACCTTATGGTTGTTACGAATTTAGAACAAATCAAGTGAGTAAAACTGTAAGAGTTTGGGGTTGTTTCTTGGATAACAATGTCTCTGCTTTTCAATCTAGTCGCAAATCTCTCTGTAAGCTTTTACTAGTCGTTATCAACAAAATATATAAGTGTTTTGCTGTGTTTCCTTATGATGATTTTTCTAGTTCCTTCCACAAACAATCACAGGTTGAAGAAGAAAGTGATCACAAGGATGCTCGTTTCTTCTCTTCATCTCCAAAGAAGCAAACTCCATATATGGTACTTGAAGGTGATAAAGTAGGAGAGTCTTCTGAAGCTGAAAATATCATAATGAGTTTCAAGTTGTTTGATCTAAGTAAGGAAGAGATCATCCAAGTTATCCACAAGTCATTTCCGAAGTTGTTGTACGAAGAGTCAAGAGTCATTGGAAGCTCGCGTGGCTGGATAGCTTTTATGAGCAAACATGATGGAACCGTACATCTAAGTGACGTGTTCAATCTCGGGTCCCTTAGAGTCATTACTCTGCCTCCTCTTCCTGATCCTATGTATCATCCTTCCACAGCCATCATAAATGTCTCCTTATCCTATCCGCCAGACCAAGAAGATGATTATGCAATGTACATCAAGTTCTTATGCTCCGAAATATATTACTGTAGGCCTAATCACCACTCGCAATGGGTTCTATGTGATAGTAACGAAATCCACACAACCGCCTCTGATATCGTATATTCCCCAAGAAACCAAATGTTATTCCTCGTGATAATGGGAGCAAGTTTCTTGCTTTCTTTTGAAGCAAGCTTATACTCCAACTCCCATGTCCTCATCTTCTGCATTAACTCAGCCTTGTTCATGAAATATTTATTAACATATATATCATCAGCACCTTGTGTTGAATGTACACCGCCTATAGGAATCGGACTACGATCAGGAGCAGGAAGCAAATCCAATGACTTATTGCCTATTCCCTTTTCAACCGTTGAACATGTATCACTATATGGCACAGAGATGGAAGAAATTCCGACTGTTGGATGAGGTTCCTACAAACGCAAAAAATAGATAGGCATATGAACAAAGAGGTAAAATTGAAAAAAGGACGACTAGAAACGGATCATATCTGTATATTGTAGTATTTAGGAAGGTCATCCTAAAACTAAATGTATCTTTCCTAAAACCTATGAAATTGAGTTTTTACCTTCTGGTTTTCATGTGCAGTAGAGATAAAAGAAGTTCCAACTGAAAGATGAGGTTCCTATAAACACAAAAATAGATAGGCATATGAAAAAGAGTTAAAATTTAAAAAAGACGACTAGAAACTGATCATATATGTATATTACAGTATTTAGGAAGGTCATCCTAAACCTAAATGTATCCTTCCTAAAACCTATGAAATTGAGTTTTTACCTTCTGGTTTTCATGTGCTGCAGAGATAGAAGAAGTTCCAACTGAAGGATGAGGTTCTACAAACCCAAAAATAGATAGGCATATGAATAAACAGTTCAAATTGGAAAAAAAAGACGACTAGTTAGGATCATATCTATATATTGCATTATTTAGGAAGGTCATCCTAAAATTAAATGTATCCTTCCTAAACCCTATGAAATTGAGATTTTACCTTCTGATTTTCATGTGCAGCCGTTGAATGTGAACTTCCTATAGGAATCACAGTAGAATCTCGAGCAGGAGGCAAAAATAATGAATAATTGCCCTGTCCTTTTTCAGACGTTGAACATGTATCACTTGGTGGCACAGAAACTGAGATGTCCATTCTAGTGCCTTCTTCAGCCTGCATAAATGTCACATAGATCCTAACTTATAAGATTAATGGTAATGCATGGAGATAAGAAGTTTTGGTTGCTTACCTCAAGTTCTCCAAGTACCAAATCGTCAAGTTCCTCGCAGATGCAAACTTCGTCTTCATCATCCAAACTTTAATTCACCAACAAGATTTAATCAAATCCAGAAACCATATAAACAAAAACAAGGACAGGACTAGAGATCACGAGATACAAATCCGTTACAATCTTAGATCGACATAGCTCCAAACACATGATCTTTCCTCAATAAACAAAGCTTGTGGATTCGTCGGCGATTTCGCCGATTTAGCACGAGCGTAAGCTTCTTTGACTGAATCATATATCATATGTTTATATCATCTACCTTATATCATATGTAAATCATCTACAGATACCAAAACCACTCTCTTTGTTCAGAATTCGTAAAGCATCTATTTATCAATAGTTTCCAATTACAAGTCTCATCTACTTAAGATTTCTAATGCAATCAAGCCCAACAATGAAAAAGGTAAGAGATGAACAATGACACATCAGAATTCTTTATGCTGAATCAATGAACGCACCTATAATTTGCCTAATTCTACAATAGAATTAATTCAACAATAAACGCCTAATTTCGTCAACACGATTGGGGAAGAAGAAGAAGAAAAAATTGGTGAAAGAGATCGATTTATACCAGTTTGAAGATCGAAAATAGGTGAAGATTTCTCCGTCGTCGGCAGATCTCTCCGTCGCCGACAACTATCACGTGAAATCGTCTCCGTCGCCTTATCGTGGATCGTGGAATGCTTTCTTTTCTTTTTTGTTTATTAAATTTATTAATTTTTTTAAAAGAGTGCTATTTTTGTCAAATAAACTAAGAGGTGCTATTTTTGTCACAAAAACTTCATTTAGGGCTATTAGAGACCATTTATCTTTTTTTTAATTGTGTATTTAAATTGAACTATTTTCCATGGTAATTTTGAAAATTCAAAGAATTTAAACTATTAACAGTAAGTAGCCATATAGAAACTAAAAACATATATTTCAAAATTTTAGTAAATATTATTATTTACACAAAAAATTTATTAAAAATATTAAATATATACATGTTGGTTTAGAACCTAGTAGATAAATACAAAAATTGTTGAAAATTAATCCGCGACATCGCGGAAGTTCATAACCTAGTCTATATTAATAAAAGTTGCGGGAAAAAAATATTGAAGATCACCAAAAAAAAAAATATTGAGGATATCCGATAATTATATATAATGTGTAAAACAATGATTCACTTCAACTAGGGTTTTCTCTCTTTCAGAAAAAAAAAAAAAACAAAACATTAATGTCTCTGCTTCTAAGACGGCTCTCGAGGCTCCGCCTTGGGAAACCTTTGCTGGTAAGATCATCTGTTCTTCTTTCTAATGGCTTTTCATCATCCTCGCTGCAAACTCCTCCTTGTTCCATCGTCTGCGCTTTTCCTTGTGAAGCGGATCTCGGAAAACTCGTGATAATGAATGCTAATGAGGGTTGCTGCACTTATTTGGAAAAGAGGGTGCCCCTGGAGTTGGTGGATAGCGATCCAATGGTGACGATAGGGGCATCTCATGGCTGGGTAGCTACTTTGAAGGACGACGGAATAGTGCGTCTCCAAGACGATCTAAACCCTGTTGCATCGGATACAGATCCAAAACGCATCTCGCTACCTCCTCTTGTGACTCTGCCTCGTTGTCAAACCCAGATTGTGACCAACGTGGCCATGTCCTCGTCTTCTCCCGATGATGAAGATTGTGTTGTGGCTGTCAAGTTCTTGGGACCTCAACTTAGCTTTTGTAGACCCGCTCAAAGTAACTCCCAGTGGATCAACTTCAGGATCGCAAACCCCTGCTTCTACTCCTCCCATGTTATATTTTCCAAGAAACATGACATGTTTCGCATTCCCGGATCTGGAGGCCATCTCATTGGATCATGGGATCCGCTCACACACAAGCACAAACCAAAGTTTCAGAGGTTGCGATTTAAAAACCTTCCTGAGCTGACCAAGACCAAACGGGAGCTTCTGCATTCTTGCTGCACAACCGAACACTTGGTGGAGTCAGAATCCACTGGTGAAACTTTCTTGGTTAAGTTGTACAGGAAGGCCACCCCTAGTGGTACGTTGAGAATGCAAACAAAAGCTGTGATGGTCTTCAAACTTGACGAAGATGGAAATGCCGTTTACACTCAAGACATTGGAGATCTCCGCATTTTCCTCTCAAAGTCTGAACCTTTTTGTGTCCCTGCTTCTTCCTTTCCTGGCATGGGCTCGAACCGCATCGAAATCTTGGATATCGAAGAAAGCATCTCTGTCTTTCTGTGTGATTCCTTCATCATTGCTAGACATTGTACACGCGGGGCACCTTACCATATCCCACCTCAAAATATAGAGTAGTTGTTCCGAATTGAGTTCGAGTCTAGAGTCTGTCTTTTCTATTTAACCTTGGAAACATTTTTATCTATCCTTTGGGAGATTGATATGCATTTGCTTTTGGAGAAGATTTTCTCTTGTTAGTCTCCCAACTAATTATGTGTGCTGTCAATCACTCGTTAAACTATTTTTCTAGTTGAACGTCATTTTGAAGTTGCCTCTCTTGGAATTTTGTACTCTTGTTCTGTTTCCTCCTCCTGTAGAATAAGCTTGCTGTAATCTGATGAAGAAGAGCCGCTACATATTGTTTGAAATCATCGAGCAGAAGCTTTAGGAATCCTTGTGAGATTGTTCTTGTAGTCATCTATATAAAGCTCCACACACGACAAGAAGTTATAAGTCATGTTATACAATATGAGAATTATAATACCGACAACAAAACAAGAAAGGAGGTTATCACAAGCTAGAGCAGAATTTGATAGAAAATAAAGGTTTTGTTATATGAGTGTTGCTAGAATTTGCAGCAGTGTGAAGAAAACTTGGAAACAAATTACTTTGATTCGAACCAATGGGAGCTTGATCTCTGATGCTGTTTGCAGGCTTTCTCTATTAGATTTCTGACCTAACAATTTTGTGGATATTAGTAGAGACATTTAATGACTTGTTAAACCTAATCAACAAGGAGGCAGAAGAAAAAAAATGTCCACATGAACTATGTGAAGAGGGAATAGTTACCACTTTATCCAAGTGCACGAGAATTGAGTTTTGATCATTGGGATCAATATCACCTTCATCCTTTAAAACAATCTGCAGTTTGAAAAATATGTAAGCAAAGAAGTCTGCCAACACAATAAAATATAAGAAAAATAAACTTTACCTCTGTATATTCAAAATGGTGATTTGCAAAAGTGACGCTTTTGGCAGATGTAATTAAATATATAGCACCACAAAGTTGGAAATGAAGTCCGTAGCATCTAAGGTACCTGAAAAGACTAGAAACTCCTTCTCACTCGTTAGGATGGATTGGTGAAACCATAAAATCTAGTGTTTGCATTAATGAAAGAGGGAGAATGAGTAGCAGATAGGAGAGGAAAGAGATTCTGGAAAAAAATGGAATGTGTCATAAAAGACAGAGAAGAAAAATGGACAAAGAGAGAAGGGCAAAGTTGTGATTAATACAGAAAATATTGAGAATATCAACCTTTTTTTTGTTAGGTGTTAGTTTCTTAATTTATAAATTTTTTTGTAATATTCTTGCAAATTTCCCTATTCAAAAGGCCTCACAGATGGCTGAGGTATCTTTGTAGGACGATATTGATTTCTGATAATAGGAAACCGATGAGGAAGATTAAAATGAACTTCTGAATTTTATTAAGGGTAAATGGATACAACGTTCGCAAGTAACGCAGCACCACTTCTCATCTGCAAGAGTCTCAAAGAGAGATCCAGCAAAACGATGAGGAAGAGTCCAAAGACTTCTAGAAGAAACTACAACAGAGAATCAGATTTTCATATGTAAAAGTGTGAGCCTAACAATTGCTCTTTATACTAAAGAAGATAAACAGTGTCAACAACAGCTTCCGTCACCATTAGTCCTTCTCCGACTCATCACCACACACGTATCTTCCAACTTGCACAATCCACACGTGCGAGGCTTGATCTTCTAGAAAGCTATATCAATTTCCCTGTAAGTCAAATATTTTACGTCACTCAGGCTAACATGCTTGATCAAAAAGGAGCAAAAAACCATACATGACGTATTCAGATTAAGCAGTACGAACAAAGAGAAGATGAAATTTCAGATTGTTTGCTGAAGAACCTTGATTTCTAAGAGAAGAACATGCTTTGGCTTTGAATCCCCATCAAAGTAAGTGACGTTGCCACAGATGATCTTGGTCGTGTGATGTGGAAGCCCATTCCAGATACCTCCTTCAAAAGTTTAATCGCTTTTAGCTCAAAGAGGCAAGGTGCATATTGTGCCTCACTCTTATTTATATGCAGCAACTCCAAAAATCAAAATTTTAATGGACCTGGCGGTCAATAAGGCATTCATGCTCATGGCCCGACACAATGAAGTCAAGGAACCGTGGAAGAAAGTGCTCACTTATTGCATTTTTGGGTTTTGATTTCACCCTGCAAGTCATAGCATTTGGGTACAGAATCAAACTTTCAGATATAGAGTAGGAAAATGATCTAAAATAATATTATTGCAACGGAATTAACCTAATTTAATCAGAATGTTGAACCAGTCAGAAACATCACCTCCTTCTTGAACTTCAGGCCTCATCCATTGGGCAGCATGTGGGTGGGGTCTGTGAAACAAATGAATATAAACACACAAAAAAAATTGTATAACAAAAAGTGAGCATCCTCTGGATTACCTGAGACATTCAATTGAGACGTTCATCCCTGATGTTTCCTAACCATAAAGAGCCACGGTTGTCGAACCCTGAAATAAATTTAATAAAATAGTAATCAAAGAAACCAGGGATGAGTCAAGTGTCCAAATTACCAATTCTTTACACCAACCTTACTCATAAGTATAGGGTAAAGAGAAATCTGGGCAACACCAAGAACCATCAATTGCAAGGACAAGGCATGCAGAGAGAATTTCAATTGCAGAAAGGTTGTCCTGTTGCCAGATGGGAGATATGCTTACTGACAAACTAATCCAGTTCCATATATATTCAAATGAGTTTGCATAACAAGAGCGTACAGATGTAAGTTATGTACCACTCTGGCTGGATCATCATGGTTTCCATGAATACTGAACACGGGCAAACCTACATTGAAGTGTGGATCCTCGTGGTTTACATGACCAAACCTGTAGCCAGAAAATAATGATAGGGAATGAGAGATTACTCAAGACCTTGAAAAACGGAAGTGTACAACAAAGTACATGTACACAATGTCGAATCAATTTGCCAAATAATTAGTTCAGTTCACAAAATTTCCTGATTTGACTAGATTAATAGCAGAAGAGTTGAGTCTCACGCATTTTGAAAATTTACAGTCTGGTCGCTGACAACTTGAAAATGCACTGGTTTATAGTTAAGACAGTGGCGACGAAGAATTTCAATGGCTTTAACTAGCGTAGTTCTAGAGGGTTTATTCTCATGAAAAATATCACCTCCGAGGAGTAAGAAGTTCACCTGTTTCAAAAGAGTGAAAATAGAAGAAATCAAACTTTCTGAGAGTCCTTCCTTGCAATTGGTTGAATATCTTTTGTCAGACGAAACAGCATATACTAGTTATCTAGATGATCCAAACGCTTGATAATACTCGCAAGGGATTACTCAATATCAAACCTGTTTCTCCTCCGCTATAGAGCATATCTCTTTAAAAGCCTTAAATGAATCATGCCGCCTTATTTCATCCTTCTCCATGTAGCCCAAGTGGCAATCAGTCGCTACAAGTACTCGAAGTGTATCACTAAAATCCTCCCTGTCAAGATTTTACAAACATACACTGACACTCATAAGTTGTTCTAAAAACTTAAGCACAGTTATGGCAACATTCACAATTTCTGAGTTAAGGAAATTTAAAGTTCCGAACAGAATAACAAATGTATAGACAGCATTAATTAAGCTCCAGAAATCATTTTTGTTTATTACTGAAACATGGAAAGACAAAGAGCTCCAATGAAGCTATTCACATCTCACTGCAGACTTTTCCTTTAGTCAAATTCCATATATACGCAGCACACAGGTAGTCAGGTACAGAACAACAAAAATTCGCCTTCTATATTTTCTCATTTTCGGATATGGCATAGGTAAGCATTTAGCTACTAAAAGTCTTAAACCCTAAAGAATGTGAACTTGATAAACCTTGACTAACAAAAACTCGTTATTTAGCTCCTAAAAACAACACTGGAACTCCACAAAATCAGGTCCGACATTGATTCTATGCAAGAGCAAACAATAAAACTAAAGTAAAACAAATCAAAAACCCAAGGATCGAAATCACTCGGATTTGAAAGCGAATTATGTACTTCAAAATTGGCTAGAAATCAAATTACTAAAACTATATTCAAACGAAGATTTTATCTTGTATCATCAGTTAACGAGATTCTCCAAACGTGAAAGCCATTATCAACCAGTTTAATCACTAGGAGCTAGGACTTGTCTCCAAATAATTCCTTTTAGTTCTCGCACTTTCTCAGCAGCTAGTGTAGTGTAATATAGAAACCCTAACCTGGTCTTCTAAAAGGATTCAAGTGATGAGACGGAGGAGCTCCGGCGACCAGAAATAGAGAGAATCCGATTGGGAGACAGGCGCGGGGAATTTCATAGCTCACAGGCGAAAGAGAGAAGGAGGACCAAAAAAGTTGACGAAAGTTGTAAAGGCAAACATAAGTATATTTACATAAATGGTCCTTATACTTTTCACTTTATTTTAATTTCCTGGAAAGCTTTTTGAGATTTATTATGATTCCAGCATTTTAATTTTCCAGAGAAGTTTTTTAAGATATACATATGATGATTCCAGCATTTAGGGGTGTGTAATTCAATTAATTTTCCACACAAACTTTTTTTTAAAAAAGCTGAAGCTTTCAGTAATTAGTTTTTTGATGGTTTAAAAAGTTTTTTTAATAACTTTTCTCATTAGCATGTGTAAAATTTATTAATCCCTCCATGGTCAACGGAAAAGTTGAAGCTCTTATCTACATCATAAAATTGGATTCCGTTTGGTTATATTTTGACAGTATTGTGGGTTCCACTATAACGGCGCCAACAAAACTTTGTTTTTTTTTCACTTTTTTCTCCATAGAAAAATACTCACCTCTCTCTCTCTCTCTTCAATTTTCATGGTTTTAGTTGTGTGTTTAGTTGGGATTGTAGTCGGTTAAGAGTTAGTCTAGGTTTGCTAATTGCTAAATCGATCAAAAGTGTAAAGATAAAAAGGTTTTCAAACGGGTTAAAAACAGAAGAATCAAAAAATTATAAATACTATACTACATATTTACAAAATTACTTTTTTTCTTAAAAACTTACTTATACACCCGAAATTAAATTGTAATGAATCTTTGCCCCAAAAAAAAAAAGAAATTTTTTTTTTGTAATGAATCATGTTGTGTGATCGTATAATAAAACAACATAATTCCAAAAACCAAATATTAAAGGCTCCCAAATCCATTTCTATAAATAATACAGATGATTGATGATGTTAATTTTTACCCAAAAAGAAAAGAAAAGATAATGATGGTACTAAAGAGGCAGCGAA